CAGGGCGGTCCTCATGGCTCCTCCCCAGGGCGTGGCCAGGGAGTGATTGACATCTAGCTGCACCTGTTTTTCTTTTTTTTTCTGTCAGTCATGGGGCTTGAACTCTGGGCCTGGGCGTTGTCCCTCAGCTCTTCAGCTCAAGGTGAGCGCTCTACCACTTGAGCCACTTCTGGTCTTCTCGTGGGTTACTGGGGATCAGAGTCTCTCGGACTTTAGTGCCTGGGCTGGCTTTGAACCGTGATCCTCAGATCTCAGCTTCCTGACTAGTTAGGGTGACAGGCGGGAGCCACGGTCCCCGGCTGGCTGCCCCTTTCAGAGCTCCACCTTGGCTCCTCCCCCCAACCCGAGAGGCCCCGCCCCTGGGCGTGGCCTGGGAGTGATGGACGTTTGCTGCGCCTCTCAGGGCCCTGCCTTTGACCTTGGGCCCGCCTCCCCACGCCTGCCCCCTCCGCTTCCTCCCCCCGACCCGCATCCTCGGCGGGTGTCCCGGATGTGGGTGCTCTGGGCCTGGGCTCCAGCCTCACCCCGAGCGGGGCCCGCGTCCCGGGCACCCCGGAGAACCAGGCCTTGGTCCGCTCCGTGGCCTGGGCCGGTGTTGGGGCGAGCTCGGGCTGGAGGGCCGACACGCCTGGGCCTCGAACCCGCGGCCGGCCGGCCCTGGCCCCCGCGGAAGGCGAGCAGCGGGCCGGGCGGCGGCCCCGGGGCGGGGTCGGTGTGGCCCGGGGCGGGGTCGGTGTGCCCCGGGGCGGGGTCGGTGTGGCCCGGGGCGGGGTCGGTGTGGCCCGGGGTGGGGGCCCCCGGCCGCCAGGAAGAGACCAGACGGCGCGGCGCGGGCGTGTCTGCTTTATTTCCGCGAGGTCGCGCCACACAGCCTTATCCCGGGGGACTTCAGCGAGGAGGTCCGCCCCCCGCCGGCGGTAGCCAATGAGGAGGCCGGGCACTGCCCGAGGCAGCCAATGAGCACAGAGCCCACCCCGGCGGCAGTGACTGGCGTGGCTCAGCGGGCTGAGCGCCAGCCCCGAGCGCGCCGCGGGCCCCGGGTTCGAATCCCGGGTTCACACCGAAGAGGAGGCGTGGCTTTGGCAAGTTAAAAAACAAAACAAAACAAACCACCTCTGGCCGAAGTTGTAGAAAAATGACTGGCCAGCTGGGCGGGAGGCTCGGTGCCGCAGTGCTCGCCTCGCATGCACGGAGCCCTGGGTTCGAGTCCTCAGTGGCGCTGTGGCCCAAGTGGTGGAGCGCCAGCCTTGAGCTGAGGAGCGGAGGGACAGCAGCGCCCAGGCCCCGAGTTCAAGCCCAAGACCGTTTGGCAAAAAGAAAAAAAAGCCCCGGCGAGCGCGGAGCCCTTGCGGCGTCGTGCGTGGCGTGCGTGGCCGGGGTCAGCCCGCGTCCTGGCGGCCGGGCCACGCTCCCGCAGCGCCCCGTCCCACGGCTCTGTCCTCTGCATCCGTCCCCGCGTCCTTCTCGTGTGCACGGAGGCCCTGCGCTCGGATTTGGCTTTGTTCCCCGGCTCCGCGCTGGCGCTCCACCGCTTGAGTCACGCCTTCTCTTCAGGCTGTTTTTTTGCTGGTCACTGGAGATGGAAGGCTCGCTCCTGGACTTTCCCGCCCCGGGCTGGCTTTGAACCACGATCCTCCCGATCTCAGCCTCCTGAGTCGCTGGGGTGGCAGGCGGGAGCCACCGGCACCCGGTTTTCCTTTTTTTTTTTTTTCTTTTTTTTAAAGACAAAAATACTTGAGTGGTTTGATAGAAACATACACACAACACTGGTGGTGACCTGAGGAAGTTCCCTTCTTCCTCGCCTCTACCTCCCCTTCGCCAGAACTTTCCAGTGCAGTCAACTGGTTACAAGGGCAACAACAGCAATCACAATGAGAATAACTTAAAAAAACAACAAAAAAAACGATCTTACAGAGGACACACAGTAGCAAGGCCTGAGACAAGAGATGAGCGCTCTGGGCGAGGGGCTCTGCCGGTGGAGGCGGCCCAGGGGCCTGAGGCTGGAGATGGCTTTCCTGGCGTGTGGGTGGGCTGACGGTCCCGGGCACGGGCGGGCGTGGAGGGAAGGCACTGGCGTGTGCGGCCCACGCAGTAGTCCTGCGGCAGGCTCCCCGGGTCACTGTGTGGCAGCCGACTCCACGGCGGGCTCCTGGGGAGACACCTTAGTCTCGCCGCGCCAGCACGTACGTGTATGTGTGTGCGCGTGTGCGTGTGTTCAGAGAAGGTCGTACAACTTAGTCTCTTGCAGCAGGGACAGGGTTTGTGTTGGGTTTGGGAATTGTTCTTCGGGGTTCGAGGGCTCACGGTGACGCAGGTCAGGGACAGATCCATTTACTTTTTGCACAATGTCACCTGAATTTAGTGACAAACTGGTGTCAAGTTTCCTTCCCTCTCTCCCTCCCTTCCTTTCTGCCAGTCCCGGGGCTTGAACTCAGGGCCTGCACGCTGCCCCTGAGCAATTTCCACTCAAGGTTGGTGGCTCTACCCCTTCTGAGCCATATAGACGGCACCATCTTGGGTTTTCTGGTGGTTCCTTGACCATAAGAGTCTCAATAGAACTTTTCTGCCCAGGCTGGCTTCAACCCATGATCCTCCAGATCTCAGCCTCCTGAGGGGCTGGGCTGGCAGGCGTGAGCCACCAGCGCCACTCCTGTATTTTTTTTTTTTAAATACTGTCCACTCAATCCAAAAGAGACCACAAGACCTGCAGATCTTCCAGCGGGAGCTATAGAAGGCTCTAGCACATAGGTAGCTTCTGGAAGGAAAGGGAAGGGTGGTTAGAGGAACTTACCCCCGAGTCCTGGGTGGTGATTTTAATCTCTGCAGGCCTGTTTGACGGGCAACAGCCTTGGAGAACAAAATTGCGGTTAAATGTTTTAATGTCGGTTATGGACGATGCTTCCAGTTTTTCAGCTGAAAGGCAAAAAACCCAAACACGTCATTGTCAGTAACTGTGTTGCAGAAAGTGGAATATTAGTAAGGAAGGAAGAGGGGGGAAATCATCCCATTCCTGTACTTGTCTGACTGTTGGCTCTTTGCATCTTTCACATTTTTTCCCACCCAATAGTTCGAAAACATTACTATTATTCAGTTGATACTGTGGCTCAGTGGTAGAGCGTTCACCTAGCATGCATGAAGCCTTGGGTTCGATTCTTCAGTACCACACACACAGAGAAAGCCAGAAGTGGCGCTGTGGCTCAAGTGGTAGAGCGCTCGCCTTGAGCTGAAGAGCTGAGGGACAGCGCCCAGGCCCGGAGTTCAAGCCCCACGACCGACACGAAAAATCAATCAATCAATCCATCCCCATTCCTGTCTGAGTTATTCTAGGTGAGCGAGTTGAACTCGATTCTTTGTGGTCTCCCGAAGTCGTACCTTTCAAAGGAGGAGCAGGCAATTTCCGTCTTAGCTGTCTGGACGTGTCTATAGTTTGGACCTGCAAACACAACGCAAATCACCAACACATCTTCAGGTTTGTTTTTGCTTTTTGTTTTTTTTTTTTGCCAGTCCTGGGGCTTGAACTCAGGGCCTGGGCGTTGTCCCTGAGCTGCTTCTGCTCCAGGCTAGCACTCTACCACTTGAACCACAGCACCACTTCCAGCCTTTTCTGTGTATGTGGTGCTGAGGAATGGAACCCAGGGCTTCATGCATGCTAGGCAAGCACTCTACCACTGAGCCACCTTCCCTGCCATCGACCCATCTTCGGAACCAAAACTATTTTGTTAATTTTGTGCTGTTCCCTGTGACTTGAACTCAGAGCCTGGGCTCTTGTCCCTGGGCTGCTTTTGCTCAAAGCAAGTGCTCTACCACTTGAGCCACAGCGCCACCTCCGGTTCTCTGGTGATGAATTCACTGGAGGGAAGAGTCTCCCGGACTTTCCTATTCTAGGCTGGCTTTGATCCTCTGTCCCCCAGATCTTAGCCTCCTCCTGCGTTCCTAGGAGGTTTATCTTTGGCATTCTGTGGATTTTCTGGGGGACAGTGGGGGGGGGGCTGCACGCACCGGGTTGCTCTGCTTCTGCTCGCGTTTTCTGGTGAGGCGTCCGCACGGCGCGATGTTCAGGCCCGCGATGGTGAGCGCAGAAATGCGGCTCTCGATGTCCGAGATCTCAAGGCAAGAGGAGACATAAATTGAGCGTGGTCGACGAGGCGGGGCGCACTGGCTGCACGTCAGGCTTGCACACGCATGCTCACACTCACGCTCTCCACGCCACCTGGCACTTGGGCTCTAAAGGAAAACGGGACACTCCAAGTGTTTCCTTGGTGAGTTTCAAATTCCACTTTGGGCCAGGCGCTGTGTGGCTCACGCCTGTCATCCCAGCCACTCCGGAGGCTGAGATCCGGAGGATCGTGGCTCGAAGCCAGCCTGGGCAGGAAAGTCTGAGAGACTCTTATCTCCCATGAACCACCAGAAAACCCAAAGTGGCACCATATCTAGGGCCCAAAGGGGTGGAGTGTCCACCGTGAGCTGACGAGGCTCAGAGACAGTGGCCAGGCCCTGAGTTCAAGATCCACGACAAATACACAGGAGGAGGGATTGTGCTGCGGCGTGGTTTCCGGTGCGGGGCGATTCGCGCTCCTTCCCTCACCTGCAGCTCGGCGTGGTGCACGCGCGCAGCGGCCGTGGCCGCCTGGTCCTCCAGCTCCGCCAGCTCCGCCTCATCGGTGTGGCTGTGGATGCCGCGGGCCGCGTCCTCCAGCTCGCTCAGCTGGCCCTCCAGGCTGTACACAGTCCCCGCGGCTAGGTACACCTGTCGGAAGAGATCGGGAGGATCGAGGTTCAACTCCAGCCAGGGCAGGAAAGTCCCTGAGACCTTTGATCTCCACTACACCACAAAAAGCAAAACCAAAAGTGGCCCTGTGGCTCAAGTGGTAGAGCACCAAAAAAAAAAAAAAAATCTCAGGGTCAGTGCCCAGGCCCTGAGTTCCAATCCCAACAGTGCCCACCCCCCCTAAAAAAAAAAAGGCATCTCAGGGACTTTTTCTGCTCTGGGGCTGGCTGTGAACCACGATCCTCTGGATCTCAGCCTCCTGAGTGGCTAGGATCTCAAGGTCTGAGCCACTAGGGCATGGCTGGACTGCTGTTTTTGACACTGTACTTGTCCAGAAACGTGTGTGTGTGCGCGTGTCCACACGGGGCGAGCCCCGTGGATGGTGGGCGGGCATCTCGGCCTCCTCCACCCTGGGCGGACCCCCTTCCTCTTACATTTCCTTCCAGGGCGGTGAGCTGCCGGTCCAGGCTGTCACAGTCGGCCCCGCGGGGCAGGGCTCCCTGCGCCGTGTCGGGGGGGCGTGGCGTGGGGCCCGTGGGCTCGTCCAGGAGCGCCTCGGCGGCGTTGATGAGCTTGAGCACTTCTGTGGAGATGTTGCAGAGAGAAACAGCGGAACACTTCTGTGTGGCCAACACACACGGCGGTGGGGGACAGAAGACAAGAGCCGCACATTAACCGGGACGCGCAGGTGTCTGCGTCACCCTGGCGCCAGGCACGCACGCACGCACGCACGCACGCACGCACGCACACAGACACGGACGTGGGGGAAAGGACGAGGAGATGGGAGGAAAGGAAAGTCTACACAGCAGAAGGGGAGGCTCAGGACTGGCTGACTCTGGCCTGGCTGCTGAGATTCACCAGGAATGTTCTAGAATCACAGGGAGGGTGGAGAGGTGAGCAGAGGCTGTTCAGTTGCTTGCCCACTGCTGGTGGGGTGGGGGCTTGTACCCAGGGCCCAGCCACTGTCCCTTTATTTTTCCTCAAGACCGGTATGCCGGCTGGTGGCTCCCCGCTGGCCTCGGAGCCACTCAGGAGGCTGAGATCTGGAGGATCGGGGTTCGAGGCCAGCTCGCGTGGAGAAATCCGTGAGACTCCAGTGAACCACCAAAAAGCTGGATGGAATCGGAGCTGTGGGTCAGGTGGCAGAGCAAAAAAAAGCCAAACAAGAGCACCAGGCCCCCGAGACGACACAGACATTGAAACAGGATGATCTGTGTCTCGCTGGTCCTCTCCCAACTCCAAGCGCAACAAAAAAAACACCAGTGGGAAGCTGCGGCAGGCTTCAGTCTTGCTGGTACAGCCTGGGCTAGGGCTTGAACTCAGGGCCGGGGCACTGTGCCTTAGCTTTTTGTTTTTTCCCTCATGGAGCTCTACCCCTTGAGCCAGAGCTCCACTTCTGGCTTTCGTTGGTGATTCATCAGAGAGCAGAGCATATGGATCTTCCTGCCCAAGCCGGCTTCTAACCCCGATCCTCCGACCTCAGCCTCCTGAGTGGCTAGGATGGCAGGTGTGAGCCTTAGTGCCCGGCCCAGTTGTGTGTGTGTGTGTGTGTCTGGGCTCCAGCCCCAACCCCTGGCCCTTGGGCTGCAATGGTGGGTTGGAGGAGAGCAGCTCACCTGCTCCAGCACCGCCGACAGGAGCTGCAGCTCGGAGCTCACCCCGCTCTCGGCTCTGCCATTCTAGGGCCGCAGGGATAGAAAGAGAGAGAAGACGACCTGTTAACTCCTCAGTGGCCGGGGGAGAGGACACAGCGATTCTAATATGGTATTGTACTGTATGATATCACACTGTCAGAGCTGGATTACCACCGATAGTGCACCATAGCAACTATCACGTTATGGTTCGATAACGCCGTGCTAGAACCAGCGTAATGCTCTTATGTAGTAACATCCCCTACGCTGTACTTCTTATAGGACGCCGTATCACGCTGTGACGTCTATGGTACTGTTACGTAATGTATTACAACGCAACGGTCACAGGTTGGCGACAGTTACCTAGTCACAATCCTGTGTTCTGGTGTGCAACACACACACGTGGGTGTTACACAGATGCAGAGTGCGCAGCGATCACCAGCCCTCACCTTCTTCAGCTCATGGGGTGCATGCCGGGTACCTCCATTGCTGTCGCCCGCTGCGCCTTCCCCCGGGCTCCCCGATTCCCCCTGGGGCTCGGTCTGGGGCCCAGACCCCGGCTCCTCTCCCGACGACGTCTCCTCCTCCTCGCTCATTTTCCCGCCCAGCTCAGGGCGTCCGCTGCTCCTCCACTCCTTGGCCAGGACATGTGGACAATCGGTCTCTGCGAAGTCACCAGATGCCTGCGGAGTGGGGGGGGGTCGGGGGATGGGGGGGCAGCATGGTGAGCCACACATCCCCGCTCCTCCCTCTCCCCCATCTCTTTCGTGCCGGTACTGGGGCTTGAACTCAGGTCCTTGCACTCTCCCTTTTTTTGCTCGAGGCTAGTGGTGCTCTACTACTTGGGCCACAGCTCCCGTCCCGTTTTTGCTTCTGGCTGCTGCGTTGGAGATGAAGCCTCCTCACTGGACTTTCCTGCGTGGGCTGGCCTTGAACCGCGATCCTCTAGATCTCAGCCTCCTGAGCAGGGCGACAGGTGGGAGTCACCCGCGTTTCTCATCTTCCGAATCATTTTGCTCTGGCTGTCGTCAAAAGTCGTTTTCCTGGTGCCTTCATCACTTCCTCCCAGTTAGGCCAAGAGACAAAAGTAACAAACCCAGCGGGGCGGCCTGGCAGGCAGCCATGACCCAGCTAGCAGGGTGCACAGAGATTCCAGCTTTTGAGCCAGGCTCTGGTGGCTCATGCCCAGCATCCCAGCTACTCAGGAGACTGAGATCCAGAGGATCGCAGTTCAAAGCCAGTGCCGGGGGGAGGAAAGTCCATGAGACTCTTGAACTCCAGTGAACCACCAGAAAACCGGAAGTGGTCCCATAAACAAATAAATACGGATCAAAGTGGTAGAGCACCAGCTGTGAGCAGAAGAACTTAGGGACAATGCCCAGGACCTGAGTTCGAATCCCACCAGTGACAACAACTTAAAAAAATGACAACATTAGGTGGCGCGGGTGCGGCGGTGAGTGTGCAAGGCGCACAGCTCTCTCACCGCGCGTGCGTGCGGGTCCCGGGCTGCGGCTCCGTCGGGCTCCTGCGCGCTGGGGCCCCAGGCCCTTCTCCAGCGCTTGGCCCTGCGGTCGGCGGGGGGCCGCGCGTCCTCCTGCTCGCTGCTGTCCGAGGTCTCCCCGCGCGGGGGCTGCGGGTTCGAGTTCTCATCCAGCCCTCCCCAGGGGCGCGCTGTGTCGCTGGCAGGCTTTTGGGGTGCCCTCCTCTGCAGCCACGACGGCCTGGCCCGGCGCCCCGCCTCCCGGGACGAGCCGGCCGAGGAGGTCTCGGAGTCGGAGCCCGTGGCCCCGGGGTGCGGGGGGCGGCCCCAGCCCAGGTCGTCGTCGCTGTCGGAGGCCAGGCCGTCGTAGGCGGAGGGCGCGCCGCAGGCGGCCGCCAGGGCCCGCAGGGCGCCGGCCCGGGGGCGCAGCGAGCCCCCCGCCACGGCCGCCCAGTTCCCGGCGGGGCTCTGCACGGCGGGGGCCGCTCGGCCTGCTGGAGGAGGCCCGGCCGCGGGGGGCGGGCGGGGGAATGGGGGGCTCGCGTCTCCAGCGAGGGGGGAACACGCGGGGCGGAGCGCGCGCCTCCATTCCCCAGCGCCACAGAAGGAGCCGGGCCTGGCGCTGCGGCTCAAGTGGTGGAGCGCCGGCCTCAACCATGAACCAGATGAAGAGCTGCGTGGGCTGTGTCGGGGCTGGGTGCGTGTGCGCATGCGTGTCGGGGGTGGGTGGGTGTGCGCATGCGCATGTCCGGGGTGGGTGTGTGTGCGCGCATGCGTGTCGGGTGTGGGTGGGTGCGCACATGCACGTGTCGGGCGTGGGTGGGTGTGCGCATGCGCGCGTGTCGGGTGTGGGGGTGTGCACGCATGCACGTGTCGGGCGTGGGGGTGTGTGCGCGCATGCGTGTCGGGCGTGGGTGGGTGCGCGCGCATGCGCGCGTGCCGGGCCC